TTTCTTTATATTGAGATGTAAGTGCCTCAAGTCATCTTCACTTTCAGCAACCAAAGTTATGTCATCAGCATATCACAAGTTGTTAATGATTCTTCCTCCAATTTTGATGCTACGTTCTTCTTCATATATCTTCTCAGATTATTTGCTCAGCATATAGATTGAATAAGTATGTTGAAAGAATACAACCCTGACACACTCCATTTTTGATTTGAAACCATGCAGTGTCCCCTTGTTCTGTTTGAATGACAGCCTTCTGGTCTATGTACAGGTTCCTCATGAGTACAATTAAGTGTTATGGAATTCCCGTTCTTTTCAAAGTTACCTATACTTTGTTATAATCCACACAATCAAATGCTTTTGCACAGTCAATAAAATATAAGTAAACATCTTTCTGGTATTCTTTGCTTTGAGCCAAGATCCATCTGACACCAGCAATGATATCCATCATTCTGCATCCTCTTCTGAATCCAGCTTGCATTCTGAAAGTTCTCTGTCACTATTTTGCTGCAATTGATTTTGAATTATTTTCAGTAAGATTTTAGTTGTGTGAGATATGAATGATATTGTTCAATAATTTCCACATTCTGTGTGATCATCTTTCTTTTGAATGGGTACAAATATAGATCTCTTCTAGTCAGTTGGCCAGGTAGCTGTCTTCCAAATCTCTTGGCATAACTGAGTGAGTGCCTTCAGTAGGGCATCTGTCTGTTGAATCATCTCAATGAGTATTCTATCAATTCTTGGTGCCTTGTTCTTCGTCAATTCCTTCAGTTCAGCTTCAACTCCTTCCTTCCATACCATTGGTTCTTGATCTTATGGCACCTCCTGAAATGCATGAAGATTGACCAGATCTTTTTGGTACAGTGACTCTGTGTATTCCTTCCATATTCTTTTGATGATTCCTGCATCATTTATTATTTTGCCCATCAAATCCTTCAATATTGCAACTCGAGGCTTAAATTTTTTCCTCAGTTCTTTCAGCTTGAGAAATGTGGTGCATGTTCTTCCCTTTTGGTTTTCTAACTCCAGGTCTTTGCACATTTCATTATAGTAATTGGCTTTATCTTCTAGAGCTGCTCTTTGAAATCTTCTGTTCAGCTCTTTTATCTTGTCATTTCTTCCATTTGCTTTAGCTACTCTACATTCAAGGAAAAGTTTCAGAGTCTTCTGACATCCATTTTGCTTTTTTCCTTCTTTCTCATCTTTTTAATGACCTCTTACATTCTTTGTGGTTTATGTTCTTGAAGTCATCCCATAATTCTTCTGGTTTTCAGTCTCTGGTATTCAATGCATCGAATCTATTCTTTAGATGGTCTCTAAATTCAGGAGCGATGTATTCCAGTTCATATTTTGGCTTTTGTGGACTTGTTTCAATTGTCTTCAACTTCAAGTTGAACTTGAATATGAGCTGTTGATGGTCTGTTCCACAATCAGCTCCTGGCCTTGTTTGGTCAAAGATATTGGGCTTTACCATTGCCTCTTGCCAGAGATGTAATGGATCTGATTCCTGTGTGTTCCATCTGGTGAAGTCCACATGAATAGCTGCCATTTGTGTTGTTGGAAAAGGTATATGAATAAGTCATTGGTCTTGCAAAATTCTATCATGTGATCTCTACTATTATTTCTGTCACCAAGGCCAAATTTTCCAACTACCAGTAATTCTTCTTTGCTTCCTACTTTTGCATTCCAGTCACCAGTGAAATTAATACATCTTGATTGCATGTTCAATCAATTTCAGAGTGCAGAAGTTGATAAAATTCTTCACTTTCCTCATCTTTGGCTTTGGTGGTTAGTGAGTAAATTTGAAAAATAGTAGTATTAACTAGTCTTCCTTGTAGGCATTTGGACATTATCCTATCACTGACAGCATTGCACTTCAGGACACATCTTGAAACATCCTTTGTGATAATGAATGCCAAGGCATTCCTCTTCAAATTGTCATTCCTGGCATATAGATCATATGTTTGCCTGATTCAAAATGGCCAAAACCAGATCACTTCATTCACTAATGGTTAGCATATCAATCATTTGGTGTTCCCCTTCATTTTTGAAAACTTCTAATTTCCCTAGATTCATACTTCATGCATTCCATCTTCCTATTATTAATAGATGTTTGCAGCTGTTTCTCTTCAATTTGAGTCATGCCACGTCAGCAAATGGAGGTCCCCAAAACGTTACTTTAACCCTATCATTAAGATTTGTTCTACTGTGATGATGCAGCTCTTTCCCAGTTGTATTTTGAGTGCCTTCCAACCTAAGGGGCTCATCTTCCTGCACTGTAATGGACAATGAATGTTTCTGGGCTATTCACAAAGTTGCACAGTAACGTATCAGACAGGGTTTCTCTGCCATTCATAAGGTTTTCCCTGGCCAATTCTTTGTTTGGCTGGAAGCTACAGGTGTGGGTACAATTCCAGACCTGAAGGGCAGCCAGGGCCCATAGTCTCAGTGGTTCCACCAGGCTCTCTCAGACCAGCAAACCTAGTCCACCCTCCTTTTTTTTCCAAGTGATTTTGAGTTTTATTCCACATTATTCTCTCTATATATCCAGGATCTGCTACATAGATCCCCCTCTGAGTGGTTGACAGTGGTAGCTAGGCACCATCTAGTCCTCCTGGTCTCATAGTCATATAGGCTGCAGATTGCATGGTGGACCAGTTGCTAGGACTATTTGTTTCCATGAATCTTTGATTTTCTTCATTCTTCTTTGCTCTGGACAAAGAGAGACCCATCATTGCATCTAGATGGATGCTTGCAAGCTTTTATAATCCCAGTCACTACTCGCCAAGGTAAGAGATGGAACAATGTTTTGTGTAGTATGTTATGCCAATTGAGCTTGATGTCCCCTAGGCCACAGGTTCAACTACTCGCTCTCTCTAGGTAGCTGGCTGTGACCAAGAAGTGACTACAACCTTCTCCCTTATCAGTTGTACTATACCCCTGGGAATTCTTACAGAACATACAAATACACTTGTGAAACCATTGTCTGCCAACCCTATACATGGTCTTGGGTATACTCCCTGCTGCATAGACATACCTAATGGTTCAGTCCATCCACCCATCTATTCTCCAAAATTCCCATGTTTGCCTTCACTGATGACTCAGTACTGTATGTACAAAAGGGTTCATCTTTTTTGTCTGCACCTCCCATGTACCTCTCTATGTCTTCCTCTTCCTCAATGCCAGCATGTTGATCTCTCACATTTGGTACATTGCCCTTCTCTTCACCCAAATCAATACTTATCTCTACCTATCTAACAGTGTTCCCTCCCCTCCTCTTCCACCCCTGGTAAACAACAAAGAAAATTTCCTTCTATGTAAACTGTTCCTTGCCCTTTATAATAGTAATAGACTAATACAATATTTGCCCTTCTGTGATTGACTTATTTCACTGAACATAATGTCCTCCAAGTTCATCCAGGTTATGCAGTGTTTGGCAGATTCTACGTTATTCTTTAGTGCTGCACAATGTCCATTGTGTGTATGTACCATAGTTTGGTTATCCATTTCTCAGTCGATGGACACTGGGTTGTTTACAACTTTTGCTATTGTAAATAATGCTGTGATGAACATGTGTGTGCATAGGTCTGTTCTTGCCATAGCTTTCACTTCTTTAGGATATATACCTAGTAATGGAATGGCTGGGCCAAGTGCAATTTCTAATTCCAACTTTTGAAGGAATGCCATACTGCTTTCCACAGTTGTTGTGTGCCGTCAAGTCAGCCCTGACTCATAGCGACCCCTCCTTGGGTTTCCGAGGCAGTATCACTACAGAAGTAGGATTGCCCAACCTTCCTTCTGAGGAGTGGCTGGTGGGTTTGAACAGCCAGCCTTCTGGTTAGCAGTCAAGTGCTTTAGCCACTATGCTACCAGAGCTCCTGCTTTCCACAGTGGTGGTACCATTTTACAGTCTCATCAGCAGTGTAGGAGAATCCCAGTGTCTCTGTATCCTCTCCAGCATTTGTTATTTCCTGTCTTGTTGAACTTTGCTGCTAGTGCTGGGGCAAGATGGTATCTCATTGTTGTTTTGATTTGCATCTCTCTAATGGCTAATGATTGTGAGGATTTCTTCATATGTTTGTTGGCCGCTTGAATATCCTCCTTGGTGAAGTGTCTATTCACATCTTCTACCCATTTTTAATTGGATTATTTGTCTTTCTGTAATTGAGGTATTGGAGTTTTCTATAAATTCTAGAGATAAGTCCCTTGTCAGATATGTCATTGCCAGATATTTTTTCCCAATTTGTAGGTTCTCTTTTGACTCTTTTCAAGAAGTCCTTGAAGGCATATAAAAAATTAATTTTTAGAACGTCCCATTCATCTAGTTTCTTTTCTGCTGTTTGTGTATTTTGTGTTATGCTTCATAGTCTATGTATGCCATATATTAGTGCCCTTAAATTTCCCCCTAGTTTTTTCTTGAGGAACTTTGTAGTTTTAAATTTCACATTGAAGTCTTTGATCCACTTGGAGTTAGTTTTTGTATATGGTGTGAGGTATGAATCTTGTTTCATTTATGCACAAATGGATATCCAGTTTTGCCAACACCACTTATTAAACAAATATTCTCTTCCCCATTTAATGGATTTCAGCCCTTTATCAAAGATAAGCTGACCATAGGTCGAGGGTTCTATTTCTGGGTTCTCAATTCTATTCCATTGTTCTGTATGTTTGTCATTGTGCCAATACAAGGCAGTTTTGACTACTGTGGCTTTATAGTAGGTTTTGAGATCCGGCAGTGTGAGACTTCCTACTTTGCTCTTCTTCTTCAATAGTGCTTTGCTTATCTGAGGTCTCTTTCCTTTCCATATAAAGTTAGTGATTGTTTTTTCCACATCCTTAAAAAATATTGATGGGTGGAAGTGCCGAGGCGCTCTTTTGGCGCGCGCAGCCTGAGCCGCGCTTCTCAACTGGGGTCTTCTGTTTTCTCCTTTATTTTTGATTCTTTCCGGATATTGGTGTCTCAGGCAGCGTCCTCTTTGTCTATTATTTTAGATGTGCCATCTTCCCTGCTAGGCCCGGCGACGCCGGCCCCCATGGTGGCCTCAGCCTTGCACGAAGCTTTGGAAAATGCCGGACGGCTCATCGACCGTCAGTTACAAGAAGACCGCATGTATCCGGACCTGTCCGAGCTGCTTTTGGTGTCTGCTCCAAATAATCCCACTGTTTCTGGAATGTCAGATATGGATTATCCTTTACAAGGACCTGGTTTGCTGTCAGTACCTAACCTTCCAGAGATCAATTCCATCCGAAGAGTTCCTCTCCCACCTGAACTTGTTGAACAATTTGGGCATATGCAGTGTAACTGCATGATGGGTGTGTTCCCTCCAATCAGCAGAGCTTGGCTCACAATTGACAGTGACATATTCATGTGGAACTATGAATATGGAGGAGATCTTGCCTATTTTGATGGACTTAATGAGACTATTCTTGCAGTGGGGCTTGTGAAACCAATAGCTGGTATCTTTCAACCTCATGTATGTCACCTCCTGGTTTTAGCAACTCCTGTGGATATAGTGATGCTTGGACTCAGCTATGCTAATTTACAAACAGGTCCTGGAGCTCTTAATGACAGTATGTCTGGTGGAATGCAGTTACTTCCAGATCCTTTATATTCTCTTCCCACTGATAATACTTACCTTTTAACAATAACTTCCACCGACAATGGCAGAATTTTCTTGGCTGGAAAGGATGGCTGTTTATATGAAGTAGCATATCAAGCAGAAGCAGATTGGTTTAGCCAAAGGTGCAGGAAAATAAACCACTCGAAGAGTGCACTTTCTTTCCTTGTTCCTTCCTTGCTGTAATTCACATTTTCAGAAGATGATCCTATTGTTCAAATTGCAATTGATAATTCTAGAAATATTTTATATACACGATCTGAGAAAGGGATAATACAGGTTTATGATTTGGGCCAAGACGGACAAGGAATGAGCAGAGTTGCTTCTGTTTCACAGAATTCTATTGTTTCTGCTGCTGGAAACATTGCTAGGACCATAGATCGTTCTGTTTTTAAGCCAATTGTTCAAATAGCAGTGATAGAGAATTCTGAATCATTAGACTGTCAGTTATTGGCTGTCACACATGCAGGTATAAGGTTGTATTTCAGCAGTTGTCCATTTAGACAGCCATTAGCACGGCCTAACACCCTGACACTGGTTCACGTTCGTTTACCTCCTGGATTTTCAGTGTCTTCAACTGTGGAAAAGCCTTCAAAAGTACATAAAGCTCTTTATAGTAAAGGCATTCTACTGATGGCAGCATCAGAAAATGAAGATAATGATATTTTGTGGTGTATCAACCATGATATATTTCCCTTCCAAAAACCAATGATGGAAACCCAAATGACAACGTGAGTTGATGGTCATTCCTGGGCTCTGTCTGCCAAAGATGAATTGAAAGTAGATAAGATAATTACACCATTAAATAAGGATCATATTCCAATAACTGACTCACCAGTTGTTGTCCAGCAGCACATGTTGCCTCCGAAGAAGTTTGTTCTCCTTTCTGCACAGGGGAGTCTTATGTTTCATAAACTTAGACCTGTAGATCAACTGAGGCATCTCCTTGTGAGTAATGTGGGTGGTGATGGAGAAGAGATTGGAAGATTCTTTAAACTATATCAGGAAGACCAGGCTTGTGCGACTTGCCTTATCCTTGCTTGTTCCACTGCTGCCTGTGATAGAGAAGTATCTGCTTGGGCCACTTGAGCTTTCTTCAGGTACGGTGGTGAAGTACAGATGAGATTCCCAGCCACTCTTACTCCTCCAAGTAATGTTGGTCCCATCTTGGGGTCTCCTGTCTATTCTAGTTCCCCTGTACCTAGTGGTAGTACATATCCAAATCCAATGTTTCTCAGGTTTGCAGCCTCCTGCCATGTCAACGCCAGTGTATGCTGCAGGAAACCTAGCAACTCAGGCCACAAGTATTATGGCTGGACCAGAGATTGTGTACTCTGGAAAACACAATGGTATTTGCATTTACTTTTCTCGAATTATGGGAAATATTTGGGATGCTAGTTTAGTTGTGGAGAGAGTGTTCAAGAGTGGCAACAGAGAGATAGATCACTGCTATTGAAAGTAGTGTTCCCTCCCAGTTGCTGGAGTCAGTGCTACAAGAACTCAAAGGTTTGCAAGAATTTCTAGACAGAAACTCCCAATTTGCAGGAGGACCATTAGGAAATCCAAATACTACTGCTAAAGTGCAGCAGAGGCTGATAGGATTCATGCGTCCTGAAAATGGAAATACCCAGCAAATGCAGCAGGAGCTGCAAAGGAAGTTTCATGAGGCCCAACTGAGTGAAAAGGTTTCACTTTAGGGAATCCAGCAATTGGTTCAAAAATCATACCAGGCTCTGGCTTTATGGAAACTCCTTTGTGAACATCAGTTCACTGTCATTGTAGGAGAACTTCAGAAGGAATTCCAAGAGCAGTTGAAGATCACCACCTTCAAAGATCTGGTAATCAGGGACAAAGAACTGACAGGGGCATTAATTGCTTCTCTTATCAACTGCTACATCAGAGATAATGCTGCTGTGGATGGTATTAGTTTACACTTACAGGACATCTGCCCACTGCTGTATAGCACTGATGATGCAGTGTGTTCTAAGGCAAATGAACTGCTTCAGCGTTCCCGACAAGTTCAAAATAAGATCGAAAAAGAAAGAATGTTAAGGGAATCCTTAAAGGAGTATCAGAAAATTAGCAATCAAGTCGACCTTCCCAGTGTTTGTGCTCAGTACAGACAAGTGCGTTTTTATGAGGGTGCGGTGGAGCTCTCTCTCACTGCTGCAGAGAAAAAAGATCCTCAGGGTCTTGGACTTCATTTCTATAAACATGGAGAGCCAGAAGAGGACATAGTAGGACTTCAGGCTTTCCAAGAAAGATTAAACAGTTATAAGTGCATTACAGACACACTTCAAGAACTGGTAAATCAAGGCAAGGCTGCTCCTCAGTCCCCCAGTGTACCCAGAAAACCTGGTCCTCCAGTGTTGTCCTCTGATCCCAACATGTTGAGTAATGAAGAAGCAGGACATTATTTTGAACAAATGCTTAAATTGGCTCAACGATCCAAAGATGAGCTTTTTAGTGTTGCCCTCTATAATTGGCTAATACAAGCTGACCTTGCAGATAAACTACTACAGATTGCTTCTCCATTCCTGGAGCCACATCTGGTCCGAATGGCAAAGATTGATCAAAACAAAGTCCGTTACATGGATTTACTCTGGAGATACTATGAGAAGAACAGAAGTTTTAGTAGTGCTACTCGTGTCCTGTCCAAACTGGCTGACATGCATAGCACAGAAATTTCACTTCAGCAGCACCTAGAGTACATTGCTCGAGCCATTCTTAGTGCCAAAAGTTCCACTGCTATTTCGTCAATAGCTGCAGATGGTGAATTCCTTTATGAATTAGAAGAAAAAATGGAAGTTGCCAGGATCCAGCTTCAGATACAAGAGACATTGCAAAGGCAGTATTCCCACCATTCTTCTGTTCAGGATGCAATTTCTCAGCTGGATTCTGAGCTAATGGATATAACTAAGCTCTATGGGGAATTTGCTAACCCATTTAAACTTGCAGAATGTAAACTTGCAATAATTCATTGTGCTGGTTATTCAGACCCTATATTGGTGCAGAAACTTTGGCAAGATATCATAGAGAGAGAATTGAATGATAGTGTAGCAATGAGCTCCCCAGATAGAATGCATGCTCTTAGTCTCAAGATTGTGCTCCTTGGCAAAATATATGCTGGCACACCTTGTTTCTTCCCTTTAGATTTTATTGTACAATTCTTAGAGCAGCAAGTTTGGACTTTGAACTGGGATGCAGGCTTTGTAATACAGAGAATGAATGAAATTGGAGTGCCATTACCTAGACTACTAGAAGTGTACGATCAGTTATTCAAATCACGGGATCCATTCTGGAGCAGAATGAAGAAGCCACTTCACCTTTTGGATTGTATACATGTACTGTTGACAAGATATGTTGAGAATCCTAGCCAAGTTCTAAATTGTGAGAGAAGATTTACAAACCTCTGCCTGGATGCTGTGTGTGGTTATCTGGTTCAGCTCCAGTCCATGAGTTCCTCGGTAGCAGTGCAAGCCATTACGGGGAATTTTAAATCTCCTGAGGCTAAATTAGAATGGCTTCACTGAGTATTGTAATATATTTTCATCCATGCATTTTTATCTGTAAAATAAAACTTAAGCTGGGTCCAGAAAAAAAAAAAAATATTGATGGGGTCTGGATTGGGATTGCATTGAATATATAGATTACTTTGGGTAGAATTGACATTTCACTATGTCCAATCTTCCTACCTATGAGCATCAGATGTTCTTCCATTTACGTAGATCTCTTATGGTTTCTTGCAGTAATTTTTTTTTTAAATCATTTTCTTTGTACAGGTCTTTTGTGTCCCTGGTAAGATTTATTCCCAAATATTTTATTTTTTTGGTAGCTATATGTAGTGAATTGCTTGATGTGGCCCTTCTAGCCATTGTCCTCCATTCTGTGATGTTTTGTAAATCCCATTATCCATGCCTGTTTGGGGTGCTGTGGTAGTTAAGGTCAGGTATCAACTTGGCTGGGCAGCTGGTAGTAGTCATTCCCTATAATGACTGGCAATCAACTCTGTGATGGGATTTAGGTTAATTCTGTTGGGGCAACACAGGTGGAATGTATCTTGAGTCCTGCCTTGCTGGATCAAATCACCACCCTTAGCTTCCCTGAGAGTATACCTACGAATCTCCTGGGAAGATTCGCTCTCCTCTTGCTCTGGCTTTGTCTTGGAGCATCCTCATCTCACCCCTGGATTTGGGACAGCAGCCGTCGTCTGATCTGCTGATCGAGGGTCATCAAACCCCGAGAATTGGGAGGATCCGCCAGACCTACTCACGGACCCGGGACTTGCTAGCCTGCCAGCCTCCACCATTACTACTTGAGACGAACCCTTGGATGTCTGTGAGTTCTGTGAGGCATTACAGCGAAATACAGAACCCTAAGACTGGGGAAATTATTGGGAGGAGGAGGAGGAGTTAATGTCTGAAATGATGGAGTGGCATGGTAGTTTGGACATTTGGGACATCTTTGACCTCCACCTCATGGGGACCGGCCTAGTGCTGATCCTTCTAAGAGAAATTGTTCAAGCACTATACAACAACAACATTATAAATGGTATTGATTTCCTTATTTCTTTTCCAGCAATCTCTTTGCTGGTGTAGAGGAATCCAACTGATTATTGTATATTGACCTTGTATCCTGCCATGATGCTAGATCTCTTAACTAGTTCCAGTAGATTTTTACTGAGTCTCTTGGGTTTTCTAGTTATAGAATCATCAGTAGCAAATAGGGATAGTGTGACTTCTTCCTTACCAATTTGGATGCCTTTGATTTCCCTTTGTTGCCTTATGGCCCTGGCTAGGACTTCCAGTACAATGTTGAATAGAAATGCTGATAGCAGGCATCCTTGTCTGGTTCTTGTTCGCAAGAGGAATGGTTTCAGTCTCTCTCCATTGAGAATAATGTTGGCTGTTGGTTTTGCATAAATGCCCTTTATTATGTTGAGGAATGTCCCTTCTATTCCTATTTTGCTGAGAGTTTTGATCAGGAATGGGTATTGGAATTTATCAAATGCCTTTCCTGCATCAATTTATATGATCATGTGGTTCTTTTCCTTTGTTTTATTTATGTGGTGGATGACGTTGATTGTTTTTCTAATGTTGAACCATCCCTGCATACCTGGTGTAAACCCCACTTGGTCATAATGAAAGATTTTCTTGATATGTTGTTGCAGTCTATAGGCTAGGATTTTGTTGAAGATTTTTGCATCTATATTGCATATATATTCCTGAGGGATATTGGTCTATAGTTTTCCTTTAGAGTGATGTCTTTCCCTGGTTTTGGTGTCAAGGTAATGCTTGCTTCATAAAATGAGTTACAGACTATTCCATCCTTTTGTATGTTTTGGAATAGTTGAGTAGGATTGGTGTCAGTTCTTCTCTGAAGGTTTGGTAGAATTCTCCAGTAAAACCATCTGGACCAGAACTTTTTTTCTTCTAGTGGTTTGTCAATTTTGTTTATCTTTTCAAGAAACCAACTTCTGATCTTGTTGATTTTTTCTATTGTCTTTCTATTTTCTGTTTCATTTATTTCTGCTCGAGTCTTCATTATTTCCTTTCTTCTGGTGACTGTAGGCTTTTCTTGCTGTTATTTTTCTAATTGTTGAAGATGTTGGTTTAAAGTGTTGATTTTGACTCTTTCTTATTTTTTGATGTGTGCATTTTTTGCTATCAATTGGCCTCAGATCACTGCTTTTGCTGTGTCCCGAAGATTTTGGTATGTTGTGTTTTCATTCTCATCTGATCCAAGGAATTTTTGAATTTCAATTTTTATTTCTCCTCTTACCCAGTCTTAAGGAGGTTTCCATGTATTTATTATTTTCCCATTGATCTTCCTATTGTTGTTTTCTAATTTGATAGCATTGTGCTCTAAGAAGATGCTTTGCAGTATTTAAAAGTTTTTAAATTCATTAAGAGTTACTTTATGGCCTAACATATGGTCTTTCATGGAAAATGTTGCAAGTGCACTGGAAAAAGAATGTGTATTGTGCTGTTGTTGGGTGCAGTGCTCTATAGATGTCTATAAGGTCAATTTGGTGGATTGTCTTGCTTAGCTCTTCTCCACCTTTGTTGAGTTTTTGTCCAGTCATTCTATCTTTCATTGAAAGTGGTGTATTAAAATCTCCTACTATAACTATGGAGTCATGTATTTGTCTTTTCAGTTCTGTTAAAGTGTACTTTACATATTTTGGGACTCTTTCATTGGGTGTATAGATATTCATTATGGTTATATTTTCTTGTTCAACTGATCCTTTAATCATTATATAATATACTTCCTTGTCTCATATGGTGGTTTTTGTCTTAAAGTCAATTTGTCCAGAAATTAATATTGCCACTCCTGCTCTTTTACAGTTGCCATTTGCTTGATACATCTTTTTTCAACCTTTGATTTTTAGATTATTTTTGCCTTTGTCTCTAAGGTGAGTCTCTTGCAGACAACATATGGATGGATTTTGTTTTCCTATCCAATCTGCAACTCTCCATTTCTTTTCTTTTCTTTTCTTTTTTTTTGTGATTGGGGTGAAGATTTACAGACCAAATTCACTTTCCATACAGCAGTTCACATATACTTTGTCTCATGTCATTGACCA